GGTATCCCGGGAGGCAGGAACGCTGGTTGGGGGTGCTGCGCCTGGCGGTGCTGAGCCCGGGGGTGCCGGTCCCGGCAGTGCCGGTCCCGAGGGTGCTGGTCCCGGGGGTCCCACACTGCAGCCCTTGGGGGCCGGCGCCGCTGCCCACCGGGATATGAGCACCCAAAGGTGCTGTGCAAGATTCAGGCACTTAGGGATGCTTTGCCAAGGACGTGGGGGTGCCTGGGGTGCAGCCCCAGGATGCGGGAGATGCCGGCCCCGGGCAGGCAGGGATGCAGCAGCTGGCATGCGGACACCTGCGGAATGCAGGTCCGAGGGCTGCGGGGGCTCTTGGGGGCACCCTGTGCTCACAGGCACCTCCTGCCCTTCTGGCTTGGAGGGCCCCTGCACAGGTAAATCAGGGCCTGTCCGCTGGCACGTTGTCCGGTCCCCTGCCGCTGCTGGAGGTGTCCCCTGCTCCAGCCAGGGGAAGATCAGGGCAGAGGATCCCGGGAAGGGGTTGGGGCAGAGGGGGAATGTTCAGCTGCCATCAGAGCATCACGAAGCCTCTTTGGGGAAACCTGTCACCCCACGAATCCCGTGGCCTGTGGGGAGCTGGTGGCAGAGCTGCCCAGGCCACGCTGCAGACCCGTCCATGGGGACGGTGCATGGGCTGCCTGTCCTGGGGGCTGGACAAACATCCCTGCCCGAGCGCTCCTGGATGCGCTGCACGTGTGAGCGGATGCAGGGAAGGCTGCACCGGCTGCAAACATCCCCGGCAGCCCCGATACCCGTGCTCTTCGGAAGGAGCCTGATGCTCCACACACAGACCCACGGGGCCGGCTAGGGTTTGCTGTGAGCCGCAGGGACAAGCGCGGGCGCTGCAGAGGCACCAGCTGCCACCAGCCCGTTTCTCCAGCGGGCAGGTCGCTCCTCTCTGGCTCATCTGGCCCTCCCAAGGGCGCAGCACTGCCGTCTCCCCATATGGTCCCTTTCTAAATGGCTCCTGGATGCTGCCAGGCTTCGGCATGGTGGAAGAGGGGAAACCAGTGCTGCAGGTTGGCTGTAGAGCCGCTAGGATCTTGATCAGTTTGGGCGGCCCTTAACACCTCTTAAGGGCTGACAGAGAAGTAGTTTGTCTCGAGCCTTCCTGCTCCCTGTGTGCTTGCTGGTTCCCGGCCCATTCCCCCACTGGCACAGGCTGATGCCACCAGATCCAGGGGCCCAGGAGTGCCCGTGCACAGGTCCAGAGCCTCCCCACCAGCCGGACCCATTGCCCTCGGTCTGTGCCCATGCTTGGTGCCGGGTGCCCAACACGGCGCACTCTGCCTGCCCTGGGCTCTGCGTGCTGGCTCCAGAGCAGCTTGTCCCGGCTGCTGCAGCCCTCAGCTCGCTCCCTGGTGCCTGCAGAGCTCTGCTCCCACCGCAAGGCTGCAGGACCATCCCACGCCGGGATGGCCTGGAGCAGCCCCGGGACGCGCTGGGCACGGTGCCTCCCTGGCAGGATCCCTGCTGCGCTCCGCAGGAATCCTCCCGAGGGGCTTTTTTGAAATGCTTTAAGTTGAAATGGCATGTATACTATTTCAAACAAATAGTTATATGTTATATATATATATGTTAAAATGATTTCTATCAATTTGAAGTGAACAATATTTTTAAAAAGAAATTTATAAAACTTTGATTTTTTTTTCTTGCCCTAATATTTCCCCTTGTCTTCCTTAATTTAGCAGCATAACCAAAATATTTGCCTGACACCTAAATCTTTCTTAGGAGCATGTACACTGGGGGCTTGCAATACAGTTGATTCACAATTGAGCTCTATAGAGCATGTTTAAAAACATTTTGACTAATGCGTAAGTTAGGTAACTGTGATGCAAAATGGAACATTGAGGGTTTTTTTTTTTTTTCCCCCTTCATTTCTATTCTCTCGTAATCTCTGTCCAAAAATAACGTGAGCTCCCTCCCCAGGGAAGCTGCGCTCGAGCCTTGGCTCCCTCGCCCTGTGCATTAGCCTGACAGCTGCTAAATGAGGCGCTTATCTCATGTCACATCATAACCGTTTACCCAAGCGCGGCTGCAGAGCCCGCGACGCCTTCGCTGCTCTGGGGGGTGCCTGGATGTATTCTCTCGTAATCTCTGTCCAAAAATAACGTGAGCTCCCTCCCCAGGGAAGCTGCGCTCGAGCCTTGGCTCCCTCGCCCTGTGCATTAGCCTGACAGCTGCTAAATGAGGCGCTTATCTCATGTCACATCATAACCGTTTACCCAAGCGCGGCTGCAGAGCCCGCGACGCCTTCGCTGCTCTGGGGGGTGCCTGGATGCACCGGAGCTCCCAGGGTCCCTCAACAAGGTGGCAGCTTCGTGAGGACGGGCCCGTCTCCCAGCACGGTCCCGGTAGGGGACTGGGCGTCACTGTCCCTCCAGCCCCAGTGCTGGGCAGGTCCCTGGAGCGGTGCCTTGGTTCCTCGCGGAAAGGCGGGTCCGGGAGCAAAGTCCTGCAGCAGCAGCTCAACTCCTGCAGGCTCCTGGCGAGCAGTGTGGGGCACGTGCACATCCCTGCGTGGGGATGCGCTATGGGGGTGCTGCATGGGGATCTGCATGGAGACCCTGCACAGGGACCCTGCATGAGGACCCTGTGCGGGGACCTTGCATAGGGACCTGCACGGGAGCCTTGTGTGGGGATGCTGCCTGGGGACCCTCCATGGGGACCCCTCCATGGGGACCCCTCCATGGGGACCCTGCACAGGGACCCTCCATGGGGACCCTGCGTGGGGTCCCTGTGGGGCTGGGCAGCCGCAGGGCCGCCTCGCAGCAGGGTTTGCTGCCCCTCTTTGGATCAG